ATTCAAGTAGAATGCAGTGATTTACCATGCACATTTAATAAATCAGTGTTTATAAAATTATCTTTGTAGCTGTAGGTGATGCTGTAGCTGAAGATGAAGTTGTTGGTGAGATTGAAACTGACAAGGTATGGATATTCAGCAGATAGGAAGTGATGGTTAAATATGGTTAGGGTCCACAATAGGTTTTGCGGGATGCGGGATAAGCCGTTTTTTGATGGCGGGATTCGGGATCTAGACAAAAATTTTGACGGGATGCGGGATCTTAAAATGCAAGCGGGATCGGGATTTTGCGTTTTTTTCGCGACGGGATCGGGATAACTCTAATAATTTGCTGCGGGATACGTGATTTCTGCGTCCTAAGCTTACCTATTAATTATTAGACTGCCTGTGCATTTTATTACGAGATATAACCTCTCTGACCTTTCTGTCCTTACTGGACGATTACTGGACAAAAGCGGACACGTCACGATAAAGGTATCTACATGCATGTGTAATAGTAAGGTCATATCAGGTATCAAAGCAACTTTTAACTAGTTATAATCGATCATTATTATCAGTCTTTTCAAGAACTTTCAACGACTCCTTGAGATCTCAATTCAGAACCTTAAAGTTGTTTAGCCTTTATCAAGTAAAGCGACCAAAATGAACACCACAAACAACACGAAATGAAAGACTGTTTTGTTAAGTAATGCTGCAAAAATAAACACCACAAAGACGAAATGAAAAACTGTTTTATCATTTAAAGYGGACAAAATAAGTAGTTGCATAAAACATTTCGTACATGTACAGCCAAACAACGCAAGAGGACGGTTAGATGAAAAAGAAGAGCGAAAATAGAGTCAATAATATATTAACTTAATTATTTATTAAGAGAAAATTGCGGGATCGGGATTGCGACTTTAAAACTGACGGGATTGCGGGATTGAAAACAAAAATTTGCGGGATTGCGGGATTGAAAACCCCCTATTGTGGACCCTCTATGGTGTCATATTCTGTCTGTGTTTCTGAAAAAAAAAAACAATTTAGATATAACTGTTTAACAGATTTGATGCAAGAAAAAAGTCTAACTAAACACTGTGCTAAGGTGTGAACACTACATTTACAATGTCGATTTTGTCTTCTTGATCTGCAGACAAGCATTCCTGTAACAGCTCCAGCATCAGGCATCATTGAAGAGCTGTTTGTCAGTGATGGAGATAAAGTAGAAAGAGATCAGCAGCTTTTCAAACTTAAAATAACAGGTAAAAATGTGACTGGAGTTAAATGTTATTGATATTGATTTTTTGTTATGCTGATCCATATCAATTTTCATGTTCACATTATCAATTACTATCAGGTGAAGCACCCAAGAAAGAGACTCCAGAGCCAACTGTATCAGAGCCAGCAACTCCTACATCTCCACCACCACCATCCCCTGCTGCAGAACCTGTAGTTAGAGACATACCATCATCAGCTCCACCAGTTCCTCCATTGCCTACAGCACCACTTCACGAGATTAAACCATCTGTTCCAACTCCTGTTGCAATGCCAACAGCAACAGTTGATGTGCCAGTGAAGGGGGCTCGTTCTGAGCATCGGGTAAGCAAAGTGTGTTCCAATTTGTGAAAGTTGACCAGTTGATAGAATGGTATTCTTATTTCATGATTTGTTTATTTTGTACAATATTTTGCATGATTTGAATACCCAGGTTAAGATGAATCGTATGCGTCAAAGAATTGCTCAAAGATTAAAGGATTCACAAAACACTTATGCAATGCTCACAACCTTCAATGATGTTGATATGAGGTATGACTTCCTTTTTCCATCAACTTTTTCCATACCTTTACTAAGTTATTTAATTTTCTGTCTGGGACACTGTTACATTTTCCTTATTTTATTCCCTTAACCAACA